TAGATAGATAGATAGATAGATAGATAGATAGATAGATAGATAGATAGATAGATAGATAGATAGATATTCTTAATGGTGCTAATGGAGGAGAGCCGCCTTAGCTACAGCAGGAAGTTGCCACTGATCAAAACCTGGTGCTCTTCAAATGTTTTTAAACTGCAAAGGCTATGCTGGGAAAGAATTCAGGGAATGGGGTCTCGCTGCATCTGGCAAAGCCTGCAATTTATTTTGCCCGGTGTCAGAAATGATATGGATACTGCCAGTTTCTATGGCAGCCTCCCAAGGTTGCTTTTTATTTAAGAAAATCCAGAAAAACGTTGCACAAATATGCATGTAAGATCTAGTTTGGCCTTCTAATCTATTCCTAGGGAGTGAGCAGCCCAACATGGAGAAACAGTTTTATTTTAGCCATGATATTGAATCCGCTGCAAGGCAGGACAGATATGAAGATTCTCAGCGGGATTAATCCTTATGTGGATACTGAGATCACAAGAAAAGGAGGGGCCATACTGAATTAGAGCCAGAATTCTAGTTCAGTTTAATTAATGCATAACTGATTAAAACATCAATATTCATTGTCTCAATAGAAATCTTCATGATTTATAGGGTTAGGTCTGGTTATTCTCTAGATCAGATTGTCCTTAATAGCAGTAAAATAATCTCAAGTAGCAACCAATCCCTAGCAAAATAAAATTAATGAACTGGTATGCTAATAATAATAAAAACTAAATTTCAGAAAAGGAGCTTAATAATGTAAAAGCCTGGCAGTCTCAATTATATGCTGGATTATAATTCCTGTTATCCCCAGATAATACAGTAATCCCCTTTAGTAGCTGGAGATAATTAATGTGATACATCACAGCTAAAGGGCACTATATTGGGTTAGGCTGCCTCAAAAACATCAACTTTTCACAGCAGTTTAAGGATACAATCTGTATCTACTTAATTACCCCATTGAAATAAGTAGGACTTACTTTTGAGTAGATCTACATTATTGAAAATATCAAATGAATTACGTCCCTGTTTCTTTTATTTTTATACAATGATTATGTTACATCTAATAGAACAGCATTAAAGTTGCTATTTTAAGGATTAATTATTCTTAGGAATGCATCTTGAAAATGATAGAATTGTCATTGGGCACTAATCAAATGTGGTCACATAACCACAATGGGTCTGGGAAAACCATTGTTTTTAGCTTTGTTTCTCTCCAGCAGAGGGCAGTATCTCTATCTTTCTATTCTTTCTGGCTCTGCATTTGTGCTGGACTGTGCTGGGAATCTTGACTTGATCTTTTTCAATGAAGATAAAAAGACTATTATGTTCATCTACAATTTAAATCGTAGCAAGTAACTCATTTTATGGATTGTCAATAGTTCTCTGATATGTTAGATTATATAACGTAAAATGCTATCACTTGGTTTAATTATATATGTTTGTTCCTATTTTCACAGATTTTTATATGAGTTATCCCAGATCTCCAACTTTGCTGAACGTGCCCAATGTATAATCTTTCAGTCTGTCTTCAATGAAGGAATAATTGCAGTGCATCATAAAGTTGACCTTATTCATCATGTTTGTAAGGTACTTGGGTCAAAATGCATAGCTGCCTAAGGCTTATTTCCCTTCAGAGTAAAAGTAAAGGAACATGGCTACTTCTGAGTAAAAATGACAGAAATTGGATTGTTAAAGTAGTTTAGAATGCTGTGCTTCCTAACAGATGTGTTTTTCAGATTTCATAATCTTTATGAAAACCAAGCATTTTCCCCATATCAATATGCCTTTGGTGCATGTTAAATCAGCATGACTTTGTATTAAAAATTAAATACCTTAAATATTTCAGTATAATGTTATACTGATGTTATAAATATACTGGCATAAATAATTTATGTAAAATCATAAATGAAAAAATATATCCCAAACTTTATTACAATAGGCAAAACCCAGTATTCTTGAGGCAACTTAAAGCCAATGTACTGTATTTAGTATGGTATAAGCTTGCATTTACATCTATGAATACTTATGTCATAATAAATTGGCTAGTCTTTAAAGTGCCAGTGGATCTTCCAAATGTTTATTTTCAAATGCAACAAAACAAAGTTCTGTAACAGTTTCAGCACTGGCAGGATCCAAAGACATCCCAGTGATATTTGAAAGCAGAACAGCTTTCATGAATCTAAAATAGTCATTTGATTCCCAAATAAAATTCTGAAACAGAGAACAACTTTCTTGTTTTATTTTCCCCATATTTCTGAATTTGGATTTTATTTTTGCAGATTTTTTTTTTTAATTTGGCAATGTAGGGATTCAATATTTGTGTTTTTATTTAGTTGGATCAATGGCACCATGGCTGTTACGTTGCTTCAGACATGCAACTTGAACTTCATTTACTTTTCTACTGCATAACTTCTGAAAAAGGACTGAGGCTAAAGTCACTATATAATGGATCCCAAAGTGAATTATTTATCTAATTCAACCCATATTCAGAAGTTGGGTTCAGAAGGTTTTGCACTCACTCTGCTTTCAAAACTGGTATAATCCTACATATCTACCAGGAGAAGGAAGAGAATTTCTCAATCCAGAAGTCTGGCAGTTCATGGCCACTAGAGAGGCGATAGGGACATTCTTCCCCTCCCTTTGTTTGCATCTCCTTTGGAGGTTGGTCCTCTCTTTGAATCCTGTGCCACCTTCAAGTGGACATAGGTAGGGAAACTGACCTGGGAATTGCCAACCGAGCAAAGAAAGCACCATTTCAAAACTTAACTCTTGCTACAAAAACTACTCTGTACTTCTGAAATGGCACTGGTGAGATACATAAGCACAAGCAACCTTCAACCTCTTCTAAGCTTTGTTAGCTTTCTGTTGAAGTCTGATATTGCTCTATTCGTTTATTGTGTAAAACGTTTATCCAGTGCTTCCTTTAGCAGCTAATAATGTTAAAACAACAAAAATATCAACATGATATATTATTATGTGTTGCATTTAAAGCCTACCTACTTTAAACAGTGTGTGTGGTATGTATTTTTATTTCTTCAAATACTGAAATAATTAAAGGTTTAATAATAGGCCCAGAGTCATCCAATGAACTTTCTAGCTGGACTGTTCCTAATTCAATATTCTACTGACTCTATGCTCTTAAAATAATTTTGTGGCACAGAATTGATTTTAAAATTTTCAGAATTACAGCACTTCTATTTTAGTATATTTCACTGTGTATGTATGTAAAGAAAAGCTAACGTTAAAATATTTAGTTCATGTAATGTTTCCTGGTATTACAAATTGCCTCCTACCTCTTTCAGGAGTTGATCACAATGAAAAGTGTGAAAAATATTTTAGCTTTGATTCTGGCTTTTGGAAATTATATGAATGGAGGGAATCGAACACGTGGTCAAGCAGATGGATTTGGCTTGGAAATACTTCCCAAACTAAAAGATGTTAAGAGCAGAGTAAGTACTGTGTGCAATTTAAACCAGTTTTTTTAAATTGAATTCAGCCTTTCAATTAGCAGGCAATGCTCCGTGGATAGACATCTGTTCCTAACCAAAATGATGTTAAAATGACAAAACCTGTGTTGTGACATCATAATGCAAGTTCCACCTTTTGTATTTGAGTGGTAATGTCATATACATGTATGTAAGGGGTAGAGTTTGTGTTAAAACATTGTGCTGGTTGCTTTGTCACCTGTTTCCTTCTCCTTACTTTCCCCTGCAAATACTCTGTGAAAGAAAAATGTTTTTCTTCTCCTTGCTGCTACTTGTTCTTCTTTACACATGAAACATATACTTCTCCATAATGTCAGCCCCAGGAGGTAGACCAAATCTGGCAATCAACTTTGCATGAAGGCTAAAACTACTTTTATTGAAATTGGCTATAATGACAGACTCTTGCATGTCTGATTGTGCTATCCCTTCCCTCCTGTTTTTTTTAAATAATTTTTTATTGCTGTTTAATTAATAAAAAGAAAAACAAAACACAAAATACAAAATACAAAAATAATCATACACTATCAAGAAGAAAAAAAACATTAAAAAGTGCTAATACAAAAAAGTGACAAAAATACAACAAAGGAAATAAAAATTTGGCATAGTATATCATAACAGTAAATAGTTACAAATTTAGATATATATTTATCTAATGCAGATATTGTTCAGATGCATATATATTTCCAATACATTTATGTGACTACCATATTTTTTAAACCTACTGTATTTTGTATAAATGAGTTCCATATTTCATTATACTTGTCCATACAAAGTCTATATCTATAGGCAATCCACTCATAAGTAGCAAGCACAATCAGGTCTTCAATCCATTGAATAAATGGGGCCATACATTTATCTTTCCAGTGCTGCAGTATCAGTCTTTTGGTCACAGTAATGACACGGAGAACCCGTTTACGTTGCCCAGATGTCAAATTCTAAGTACTAGGTATATTGTTC